CCGCGTGCTCAAGTACCGCACAAAGGAGCAGACGGAGGCCGCCGCCTCGTCCGACATGACGCCGCAGCAGGACCCGCGCAAGAGCATCCTCAGCAACCGCGTCACCCGCATCGACGGCGAGCACGGCATCTCCAAGATTGAAAAGGACGGCAAGGTGGACTGCCGGTACTGCTGGATGATTAAGCGAGACGTGTTTGATATCCCCATGTTGATCGTGGTGAATGTGAGTACCCCGAGTGTGTTTTGTGTGTCGGCTGCTGACTCTTTCCAGTTCCTGCCGTGCTATTACCAGAACAAGGAACCGCATCAACTGGCTGTGTGAGACGGTGTGTGTAAAAAGGGGCGACCAGGGCATATATGAAGGCATGGGAGGCGTTTGGAAACGGGTTGCGAGTTTCATAACCAATCGAACACACGGCTCTCCTGTGTCTACCATCGCAGAGAGGAGAGCCGGACGGCGCATCTGGGGCTTGATGGGTAAACGGTTCATATTCATGGGCTTCTGCCGATTTTGTTTCTTTTTTTTCCTCCTTTCTCCCGCGCAGCTTCACTTCAGCCACCCCCAGGGGCAAGGAGGGACAGTCACACCTCCCCAAGCAGAGCCCCCTTTTTCGACAAGAACAGATTCCCCAGGTTTTATATCTTCAATTCTAGAATTTCTAAACGCTGAATATCGCGTGGTTTACTCCGGGTTACATCGTGATCATGAAAAACATAGTCTAGTTCTTGGGCAGGGGCTCCACCAGCCATCCCGCGTCCAGCGTGCCGGCCTTGTCGGCTCCGGGGCGCAGCTCGGCGGGGGGTGCCCAGGCGGGCCTGTCGAGGGAGCCCCGCGCGACGTCGCAGTCGAGGTTGATGTCCTTGATGAGGGCGTCGAGCGACTTGTAGTCCTTCTCCTCGCGGACGAAGCCGAGGATGAGCAGGCGCATGTGGGAGTCGTAAAAGTCGGCGGCGAACTTGTGGAGGACGTGGACCTCGGCGGAGCGGACGGTGTTCTTGTAGAAGGGGTTGTAGCCGATGGACATGACCATGGGGTACAGCTGGAACTCGAGCGTGGGCTGGGCGGGGCCGTGGCCGGCGGCGACGCGGTCCGGGTGCGAGGCGGGCAGGGCGAGGGAGGCCCAGCCGAAGTAGACGCCCGACTTTGTGTCGTCGATCCAGGGGGTTTGGGAGGAGTCGACGGGCAGGTTGGCGGTTGGGATGCCCAGCTTTGGTGGGTTAGATCTGCGCTGCTGCGGGATGGAGGAGAAGGAGGAGGGGTGGGACTCACTTCCTTGGATCCGCGACCGAAGCCCGAGATGACCTTGCCCTCCATCTTGAGCGGGAAGGGGGCCTCGGGGCCAGAGTCGGGGCCGACGATGAGGGGACGTGATGTCTCTTCCGCCATAGTGAGTGTGTGTGTGTGTGTGCTGATTAATCACGAGTGAGACTGAGAATATGACACCTGTGTGTCTCTCTGTGAATCTTGAAATGCGGGGGGCGAGACGCTGTGTTTAAGACCCAGACGAGAAGACGCGCGCGCGCAAGTTCAGATGATCGAACCCGAAAAGCAGTGTGACGGTAAGCAAAACCTCGAGGGTGGTCGTGAGAGAGAGATTGCGAGTGAGTCGCCGCCGATGAGATGTGGTGGGGCAGCGCAGCTGTGATGTGATGGAGGGGTCACGGTTCGGGCAGGTTCGATAAGGCTCCGTTTATCAGTTTAACGATCGGCCACTGGCGGATCGGGTCTGCAGTGGGATGTGGGGCACGAGCGCCGGAAGATCCACGGTTTGTGAGATGAGCGGCAAGCCGTCTGACCCTCTGTTTTTCTTGCATATTGCATGCATAGCTATCGTCCAATGATTCACCGCATGACGCTTCACAGGGACGGGAGGTCCAACCGGCTCGGTTCCGGGAACAGCAGACTGGTATTTTTCGTGGTATAATTTTGCTGCAACACTAACGACCCTTCAAACCAAAGACCAATGGACAAAACGTTGCCTGGGCTTGACCTCTAAAGACAGTGGTGGTATTTCATACAGGAGCGTTTACACGGGGATATCAACAAGAAAAGGAAACAAGGAATATTGACAGGAACAGATAGAGTGTAGAAAACCGGGGCTGGCGAGGCCAACTCCGAGCCGGACAAGCCCACGCACTTACACCAACGACTTCACCTCCTGGACGTCGTGACACCGCACGAAACACGCTCCGGGGTGCCAATGCACGCCACAGGAAACGATGGACACGCCATTATCCCGAGAAATCTCGCCGGCGTCGTGTCACGGCGGAAATGAGCCGCGGGACGACAAGACACAGGTGGGACATTCTCCCGACGGACGGCCGGCCGATGGCAGCGACTCATCGCTCCCGTAACGTTCCACCACCCCAGAGACACAGTTTGACTCCAAATCTACGATCGGGGCCAGGCGCCGTGCTTCCACTCTGTGCGGCCGAGGCGGACGATGTCGTGGGCCTCAATCACCCACAGGCCGCTGGGCGCCTTGCCCTGCTCGACGAGGACGGAAGCGTGCACGGCGGCGCGCGCAATGACCTCGGCGTCCTGGCCCAGGCTGTCCTGGGCGGCCCGGCTGACCATGCCCAGCCCCTTGATGACGCTCTGGAAGATGCCCTCGCCGGCGCGGCCCTGCTCGCGCTGGCCGAGGATCATGCCGGGCTTGAGGATGATGCCGTGGTCGAACTCGGCCTCCTTGATGGCATCCTCGACGCCGTTCTTCATCTTGGAGTACGGCGCCTGGCCGGAGATGGCGCCGCGGGTGCCGGCGGAGGAGACGAAGATGAAGGCCTTGACGCCGGCTGCCTTGGCGGCCTTGACGAGCTCGACGTTGAGGTCGTGGTCAATTTTCCACTGCTCGGCGATACCGCCGGCGGCGGCCCGGGTGGTGCCCAGCGCGGAGAAGACGACGGTCGGCAGCGGCTGCAGGGCGGCGAGCTTCGGCGGCCACGCGGAGGTGTCGGCCTCGATGATGGGCTTGAGGGTGAGGCCGCCGGCCTTGGGGGGACGGCGGGAGATTGTGTTGACGACGGCAAAGGCCTCCGAGTTGATGAGGTTCGACAAGATGTGGGATCCGACGAGGCCGGTTGAGCCGATGACTGCGGCCGAGTGCGCCATGGTGTGCGTTTCTGTAGAAAGTGAAGCTTAAGAGGTGCTGCTTTGATGAGCGGTGGGCAAGGTTGCGGTGAGCGATATGCGAGAATGATACGACGACCGTTGAAGACCCGGCGGTTTGGTAGCTTGGTAGGACGATTTGGTCTGTGATGCTGCAGCTGTCGGCGCTTCCTTATTGTCCGTGTGTGAATGGACAGAAATGAGAAGAGAGGAAGAGAGGGCAGGACGTCTGTGGGAGAGGTTGATGCTGTCGAGGCCGGGCTTTATGGGACTTGCGTCTTCTTCCTTTTCCTGCTTTACGGCCTGACGTCTGTGTGTGCTTGGTGAGACAAGGCCGTGAGGGGGTGCGACGAGGCCAGATGAGGGGATAGGCGGAATTGAGAGGAGGAGCAGGTTGAATGGATGATTGGTAAAGGCTGTTGCTCTCGCTCGAGTGTTTTGGGGTGTGAGGGCAGGGCTGGGCTCGAAGATGACGAAAGGCTGTAACTTCAGAGCAGAGTAGCTCTCGGGTGCTTTCCAACTAGCAGCTGGGACGGAGGAGGAGTAGCGGCAGGGATGGAGGGGTGAAGGGACGACGGGCAGCAGAGTCGGTACGGTCTAGTTTTTTAAGCTCAGACAGGGAGGTCGGAGCGGGTTTCTATCACGGTCTCACACCTCTGGATGCCCCACACTCCAACGGCGATGCTGATCTTGTCATGCCATGCTTTTGCTTCCCTGACCATCCATGGATTACACATCAGCTGGAGCTGTTCGCTCTGTGACCTGCGATGTTGATCCACCTTAGGTTCGCGAGCTCCGTCTCTGCAGCGCGGCCACCTTTGCATGAATGAGCACGTACGCTGCTACGGCTCATGACTAGCACCGCTCGCTTCATTTTGACTTCTCTCCGCCCTGGACTTTGTCGCTCGAGACCGCAAAGACGAGACTGCGAGAGAAATCCGGCACCGCCCACGGAAAACCAGAAGCAACGAGAACCAACACATACACGCTGATGGGATGAAGAAAAAAAAAAGTCGGGGGAAACCTGGCAAGTCCGCAGCAGCTAGCTGATCATGCAAACTCCGCTTAGACGGAGAGCTCGGCGTGCCTGCTGCCTTATCGCCGCGGGATCCATGGCTTCTGGGATTTGTCCCGACTGGACGCGGCGCCTGACCTCATCTTTCATTGCTGCAAGAGAAAAAAAAGCTCTCAGTCTGCCGCAAGCCTCAAAGGCAAGGTACCCTGATGCCATCGCCAAGACCGTGGGGTGTTTCGGTGCAAAGTAGCAACGAGATCCATCTCCCCGGTCTCTTTGGAGCACTCATCGGCGATAAAGATGAGGTGACGTGCGGATACTCCGCCGGCCTGGAGCTCCATAGCGGAATCCTGAGCGGAATGGCGACTCGGCCCTCCCGAGAAAATCGTCAATTGCCTGGCCAAGAACCGGCAGCTGCTTACAGAGATCTGCGAGAAACGTCTTCACATGATGAAGCCAATTCCAGTCCTGCAACAGACTTTCGGCAGCGGCGGGCGACGGGTCCAAGGTGAGGTCAACACCTCGAGCACAAGCTGCGGTGAGGTTGGAGGTTGGAAGGTGAGGCGAGGGCGGCGGTGCAGCCACACTTTTCTGCCTTCGACGCGGGGTGCTGATCCCTGTAGCATGCGTTAGAAGCAGAAGCACAGAAGCTCTTTCACCCCGCCATCCCTGACCTTCCCCTCACCAAGCAATCCTCCGCCGACCGAACTTGCGACACCACACGACTGCCTCACTGCCTAGCCACATCATCGCCGTTGCAGCCTCACCCTTGCTCCAAAAGCTGCTCTGATCCGACCGCACGGCACCTTTTCGCTCTTCATCAGACTTGTCTTTTCTCCAACTCACAGTAACGACCAGCGGACACAGTCGCCCACAATGGCCACCCAGTACGAAGGTAGATACTCCCCGGCAGCACCAAACTCTACCCTTCACGTCTGATACTGACTTACACGCAGTCGAGCACAACATCAAGCCCGGGCCCTCCACCCAGTCCGGGACCCGCCGCATCGACATGTCCTCCTTCACCTCCTTCCTCGCCAACCTCACGACCGACGCCGCCCCCTCGTCGCCCCAGGAGCACCGCCACACGAACCCTCACGCGACGCCCACGCCCGTCGACGCAGCCGCACTGTACCACCTTCTCCAGCAGCAGTTCCAGACCCTCTTCTCGACGGCCCCAAACGACGACAACGCCCGCTTCCTCTCCTCCCTCGTCGAGGCCCTCGAGTCCGACATCAACAGCCCGCCCTCCGAGATCCCCGGCGTCAGCCAGGAGTACCTCGACTCGCTCGACCGCGTCCCCAAAAAGTCCCTCGGCAAGGACGAGGCCTGCCCCATCTGCGCCGAAAAGTTCCTCGACGACCAGTACCCCCTCATCGTCGAGCTGCCGTGCCACAGCAGCCACCGCTTCGACCTCGAGTGCGTCAGCCCCTGGCTGCGCAGCAAGGGCAGCTGTCCCATGTGCCGGAAGGACCTGACCAAGAAGAAGGAGCAGATCGTCGTGGACGACGACGAGGAGAATGACGACCCCGACGGGCTGTACGCCTAAGAACGAGGAAGCAATAGAATGGGCGGTGACGAAGGTGTTTGGAGTTGGGGCTGCACTGATATCCTCGGAGTCTGTTGAAACGTTCACGGCGGCGGATAAGGCATCACACGGCCTTCAGATATGCTCAAATCATGATTATGTCGAGACAAACGCCGTCTCTGTCCTGATGCTGTTGATGATTTTGTGTACACACGCCCATGCTTCTCTCATGATGCCAACCAAGTATTCATCCCTCAAGGGGTACCCGCCTTCGGGGCGCTGCCGCCGCCGCTCTTTCCTCCTTTCCTAACCTCCTTGCCCGCGCCCTTTCCACTCGGGTTCTCGCCTTGCGGCTTCGACAGCTTCTGATTCGCACCGGAGGCGTGGAGCTCGTCGCTGCCCTCCTTGCGCTCCGTCTCGGGCCGCGTCTTGGACGGGTCAAACGCCTCAGAGTCCTTGGCGGCGTCCTGGTCGCGCCCCGACTTGGTCGCCTCCGTGGTGCCCGTGTTGATGGAGTTGCGGTCTTGGGTGTCCTTGTACGGCAGGCGTGCGGTCGCCGTGCCGGTGAGGGCGCGTGTTGTCGAGGGAGCTCTGAGGGAGCCCGCTGCTGCGCGGAGGTTGACGGATCGGAGAGCTTGAAATGCCATACTGACGGACCGTGTAAGGATTTGCTCGTAGAATCGAAGTTAAGAGAGGTCAATCGAGGTTGATCTGTTTGTTGTGTGTAGGAGTGACGAGCTTCCACTGTGGTGGGAGCTGCTGCATCGACGTGCCATCATTCTTCGGCTCGGTGACGTCATCAATACGTCCAACAGACGAGACGGGCAGTTGCGGCGCACCCCCAGCTCGTCGCCATGCTTATTTTCACATCACTCTGAGCGAATTCGAATCTGACGCACATCGCGCGCTGCATGGTGGCCAATTCTTTCGGTGCACTGGCCCGTGATGCAGTTTACCTCCCGGAGCTCTACCTGGGCCAGCTCCCGAGAGCTCCCCCGATGAGTCTCACCCATCGCACAATGCTCTCCGGAATCATGCTGCTGCGGGAAACGCTTTCCGAGTCGTAGAGACCTCCGAAATCATCCCCACAGGCTGATTGGACGGCGGTGATACCTCCGCGCTGCATTCGGCCGTCGAGCCTCGCCGCCGCATGCGGCAACTTCGCCCACCGGGTTATATGACAGTCTTGCTCCCGTCGGCCGTACAGCACGTCTGAAGAATGATGGACACACTTCCATACGTTGGAAGCATGCCTTGTCACATTCCCCCACAACAAGGCAAGACAGACCATCCCTCAAAGACGACGAGTCGGCATGCATGCCATGCCACTCCAAGATGCGAATGTCTCTGATCTGAAGCTTCAAATCTCGACATCTTTGATGTTTTGAAACTGCACAGCCCCTACGAAGGCTTCCTTCAGCCCCCCGGAATGCCACTTGACATTTGTAGATGTTTCCTCGCGTTGCCCATCGGTCACCTCCATGGGTCCAGTTGTCTCGGCCGAAGCAGCAACTAAGCTAGCTATCCGCGGTTCGTGACATCTCGGGTGGCGCGGAAGGGCCGCCTCTCCAGATCCGGGGCAAGCCTGCGCCAATCATATGGCATGCTCGCAGTCACACAAGTAGGCGGCATTTCCTAGAGAAGGCCCTTGATGGGAATTTTCGACCTGCCCGTCTCCTTTGAAGCTTTGTTCCATGGTGCAGCACGTCAAGCCACCGTCGTTTGCGCCTCCCGGTAACGATATTTGACATCCTTGGCCAGGCACGGGCAAGACAGGCCTCGCGGTGGCATTTGTCGTGTGTACGGATCTCGAAATGCTCGCGTGCGTTCTGGCCCGAGGAACAGGAGGCGGCACAGCGCCGGTGAGGGCGTCCCGAGTTTGCAAAAGGATGGTAAAGGTCGTCATTCTCGACCCTTGCGCAGCACTTGCTAGCGAACCGGCATGAGACGTGAAATGAGAGTTGCGGTCTGGCCCTGTCCTCACGACGCAACGCTGCGTCACAGGCCGCGAGTGACCACCGCTGGCCAGTGCGGCCATCTGGTTGAAACCGCCCTTTGGCAATGCTGTTAATGATGAAGGGATTCCCGCAGGATGTAGCTTCGCGAGCCTGCTGCTGGTGGCCTCGCTCACACGGTTGACCTGTAGGAACGTCCGCAGTGCCCTGTCATTAACGAGGATGCATGTGGACGACGTCGGTCGGCTGAACCACGACACCGATGCATTGACCCAACGGAGGAATGTTGCACAAAAAGCAATGGAAGAAGCCGTCGCCGCTAGAATGCGAGCCGGGGGATCAACATCACACCACGACGCCTCTGCACGAGAAAGGGATTATGGCCGGCCGGCCGTCACGGCCGATCCCACTGTGGCACTCCTCAAAGCCACTCGCTACTGCTTCCGTAGCAGCCGACGGTTCCACCTGCGCAACCGGCCCAGGGCACCGCAGGCCTCGCTGCTCCGTCACCACGTGGAAGCCGGCGGTTGACGTTGTACGGCGCCGTAGGTCTTCATTCGGCTTCATGTGCCAGCAACTCTGCGACAGTCAGCAACAGCGCCACGAATCCGATGCGGAAGGTGAGCAAGCTTAAATATATTACCAAACGGGGGGAGGTTGAAATGAGGCTCCTGGTGGACGCGTCGAGACGTCAGTCAAATACGACCCAAGAAACGCGCGGGGGAGCCAATATGCGTGCGCACCCCTGAAATGGGGCCTGCCAAAGGAGGCGACAAGGACCGACTGTCGCGGCAGTCGTGTTTTGGGTTTGAATGCGATCTGCAGGATCAGCAGCGTAATCCAGAAGATGCCTGGACGCGAAGCCCACAGCTCTCGTGATTAGACGAGAAAAAAAGTCAGGCGTGTCGCGTGTGCTGCAAGTGCTAGCATTGCAGACGTGTGCACAAAAGTATCGCCAGCTGTCAAATGTTAATAAGGGGCCAGTAAGGGATCATGTGTTGCGTTTGACGGAGATGACCGGCGTCGAATGCGAACAGGTGTGCTCCTGAGCTTCTCCATCCGGAGCATCTGAAACGAACCTGCAGAATTGGGATGATCTCTCTGTGGGAGGAAGGGGGGGGGGGGGGGGCCGGGGTCCGGCAGTGGGATGCTGCAGTCGTGGTTTGTCGGTGCTGTTGGCCGTTTGTTTGCTGCATCATGGATGATGGATGTTGCACATGGAAATTACGTTATCCATGGAGATTCCAATTCATCAACGAGTCGTCTATTTTAGGCGTGGCCGGCGGGAGATGTGGCTTCTCTTTACTTATCGTAAACGTTTCAACCTGTGCCTGGTTTGACATGCGTGACGAAGCGTGGCGTCAAACGGAAGACTGCCTTTTTTTGTTTCTTGCCCCGACAGCGGTTCCCACTGCAGCATTGTCTCGAGTTGGTTGATGTTCGTGCAGGGTCTTGTCAGTCCCGCGTGGCCGGTGGAGGGCGGACGGGAAAGAGACGAGTCGCTAATCTGGGACGGCGGCATGAAACTAAGGGGCAGAATCTTTCCAGAAGGCCGCACATGCTGCCGTTCCACATCGGGCTCCGTGTCTTGGACAGCCCTGCGCTTCAGCTGGCAGGCGGGATGACCGCGGCCTTGGATGGCGGGGGCGGCGGCGCAATCAATCAGCGCGACAGAACTTTCGAAGCAGTCTGATCAATCCTCGAGACGCGGGTGTAGCGCGTCGCAGATGGCAGAGCCTCGGGAACCGAATGTCGCTTTTCGTCGAGGTGGGCACCGTTCCCCGGGGCCATCCCAAACCTGCAGCGGGCGTACGACCGACTTGGCTGGGCCTGAGAAGTGCAACCTGGGCAGTTCGTGGGGCGAAACCGCCAGATGCGCCGACGACGACATTTCTTGCATGTTTAGCTCGACCCATGAGTCGGAGTCGTGCGGACCTGTCCCCCCAGAGCGGAAAGACGTCGGAGCATGGCCGCCAGCACGGAGCGTTTTCGCTGAAATGACCATGTGATTCAGACGGGAGGCCCTTGTGCGACATCCGCAACCGCAAGACAGGACTGACGGATCCCTTCCTCGACGGCACGGTAAGTCAGAATGACAATGTGTGCGGCAAAACTGCAGAAGCAACGTGAGGTTCAGCATCATGTTCGCCGCACGTGGTTGGCAAGGATGCTCAATGCGCCGTCCTGCGGATGCTCAATCTATTCCCGATTGCGGCCACACCAATGTGCGCCGCCCGTTTGCAGGGCGAGTTGGCGTGGACGTTCGACTGTGTCCGTCAGTCAGTAGTCGATATGCAGAAATCCGCTAGATCGACGCTGGGCTTCCATGATTCCACGCTTCCTGATTCCCAGCCGTGTGTTTGCGTTTCCACAGTGGGCCTCAGCATAGCACGAAGCCGACGCTGTGATGTTGGATTCCCAGCGTGGCCTGTTCCTGGTGGCTTGGAGCTGCTCAACAAAGACTTGTCCGTTAACGTGGTCGTCACGCCTTACAAGGTGCAATGGAGGCCATGACGACAATTGACTTTGCTGCTGACGGAGGCATCGATATCCTTGCTGGATGGATGGATTTTGGTCAAGCCGAGTGTCCGTCGTGGGTTCGTCCGGCCACTAGGCAGAGATCCGTCGCAGGCGCAGAAGGGGGTCAGAAGCGGTTGACCTCGTGGCCAGAATGTTTTGGCTCCTCGATTGGACAGGTTATGGCATGTTTCGAGGCATTTCTCAGTCGCCGGAAGGCCCCGGATTGGCGAGACAATTTAGCTTCTTCCGATGGGCAGCTAGTGGTACGGACTTGTCCTTCTAGGACAGTTCGCCTCCAGTCCGTTTGTTTCCAAAGCGCGGGCGTTCGGCAGTCGAGGGACCAAAGTGATTAGACGGTATGCTGCTGCTGCTGTGCTGGTGTTGCCATAGACGAGAAGATAGAGTTTGGTGCAGTTGAGCACCGGCCAGGCTCAAAGTCTGAGAGTCGCAGAGTCGGGACTCTGAAGACTGCGCAACGGGGAAAGACGTTGGTTGAGCCGGAGTCGAGGTTGACGCCATTGGCCAGTTCGTAAAATGTCACGTACCTTGCGTTAGGTACCTTATCTCTAGAGGAAAGTTCCCGGACGTCAAGCAGCGGAACTGAGGCGGTTTTGCCATAGTTTGCAACTCGAACTGTGATGGCGGCAACCGCAACTGCCCTGCAACTAACTGCCTTTTCTGCCCAGCGCCAGCCAGAGCCAGGTGGCCAGGAACAGCCAGACAATCTTACTTCAGCGCACGTCCCTCAGCCTTCAAGAAATGAGGGTAAATTGGAGGTACATACGGCTACTTTTCCGTCACAGCGGTCCGGCAGCCGCTACTCGCGCGCATCTAGCGGCCGTGAGGATGCTGCTGGCGAGCTCGCTCCCTAATTTACCCTCGTCCTTGGACGTGCTGTTCCTCAAAATCAGGGACTCTGCAGCGCTGCAGGTACCTGTGCGGTAGTCGCCCGGCTGCTTCCTTTGCTCGGACTCTCCAACATCCACATCTCACTTGGCTGTTTGTGTTTTTTTCTCCCTCCACGTTCCTTATTTTACGACCCGGGCTGAGATGGCCTGCAGCTCTGAGACCCTTGAATCATGCGCAAGATACCAAGACTGCAATAGTCATCGTCGACACGACTCGACATGGGCCGAGCAACAGAAACGAGGCCGACGGGAGGAGACGCGGGGCGACGACGGACGATCGACGACGACAGAAACAACGTACCGGGGAGTTGAGAGTGGTCGTGTGCCACAGTCCTCCACGGACGGAGATACACGTTCGCTTTGCAGGAGGGAGTTTGGACCACATACTACAACCTCGTGTGGCTTGATGAGTGGCAGATGGCATTTTGACAAGCTCCTGCGGAAATCTAGAATGCCACGAGATGGATTCCCCCCTTGTTCGCTTCTGGAAAGCTGTTCATCGAGCTACGCTGCTACGGTCTGCGCGCCAGAGCCACGAGGAGACGGCAACTACGCTACAGACACCACCACGGCATTGTCCTGCAGCCATTCATCTGCCATGCCGGCTTCCGTACGAAGGAGCGATTCCTTGGACCTGGCTCGCCGAGACCCTTGACACCCATTCCTGAACTTGCTGCGGATTGCTTACGGCTGGTCTCGCCGTCAACCCCAGGCGCACCTACCTACACTGACTAAACCATCTTGTTTGCCTGCCCTGAGCTGAGCCATGGGAGAATAGATGCAAGGTGCCTGACATCAAGACGACGCCTTGCCCTCTTTGGCAGACTTCTCGACCAGATCATCTGAAACCTGATGCATCTTTGTCTCCGCGTGCTGCGGCCATGCTCAATCGTCCCGGCATCTGTATGCTATTCGGTCTTTGAACAGCGGGCGGTTGACGACGAGAGTTTGATGCTTTCTGATGCTCCCGCTGCTTCTGCTGCCCAGACCCGATTTCTGCTGCCTCTGCATATCAAGACCATGGGAGTTGGACATGCATTTCCGAATGGCCCCAGGTGCAAGCAAGCTAACCTTTTTCCGCATGCAGACGCAAACAGGCAGGGATATGAACAAGAGAAGGAAAAAAAAGAAAGGAAAAAAGCAAAGAGACTCTCGACAGGGTATCGTCGGTCGGTCTGCAGGTCAGGGATGGTGAAGTTGCTTCGTTAATTACTAGCATCATCCATCATCCAGCAACCCCCTCGTCATTGGCGAGCCACCGATCCCTGCCTCGTTGCACAAGCCTGTCGGTTCCCACTATGGCTCCCACTCCCACTTCCAATTGCAAGCCCCTGCCACACGCAAGCAACCCGCCGCCCACCTCCCACGACGACGACCACCACCACCACCACCAGAAAACGTGGGAGACGGGACACAGTACCTGAGCCCACGGCACCATACCGCTTGGTACATGCGTCAGCCTGCGATACCACCCGCCGTACAGAGTACAGCACTAGGTAGAGTACTGCGTGCACCACACACGGCGGCGGCGACAGCAACAAGCACCGCGCTAGGCTGGCCTAACCTTACTTGACCTACATTACCGACCGATCCTGCGTCCGTCCCGATAATTTGCAAACCAAATTGACATGTACTTGGAGTGCCTGCCAGAGGCCCAGAGCAGGCCAGCCTCGGCGTCGTAAAGGTAGCCCGGCAGACAGTGCACGGCTGAGATATCTCGCATGGCAACGCAGACCGACAGTCCACCTGCTGCGGTACGGATAGTTCCTCGCTGGACAGCACCGACAGGCACAGCGACGCTGCCGCCGACGCCAACTCAAATACACCAAAACCCATTGAGCAGTTGCGTCTCGACACTAAGCCCAGGTGCGCTAACAGAGGGACGGGACCGTACGCCGCAAGATAGCCGCTTGTCTCGCCCGTATCGTACCTGGGATGTAAAGTAGTGTATGTATCCGTAGTCTGCTGGTGCAGTGTATGCATGTATGTACGCAGTCACAGACTCTGGACTCTGGACTTGCGAGCAGTGCCCTGGAGACGAGCGAGACTTGTGGCTAAGGAAGGGTACCTAGTGCCTGTACCCCCATTCAACAACGACGACGTTGTTTGCTTGCTTGCTCGACTTGTAGATGGTCCGGTCCGGCCTGGCCTTGTCACTACTCGTCTCCCCTGGGCTGGGGGGGAACAGACAAACGGACGGCAGACCATCAGACAGACCAGCAAGAGGCGAACAATTACCCATCACCCTAAACACACACATGTTCTCCTTTTTCTTCTGTCTCGTCTTTTTGTGTTATGTTATTTCCAGCCAGCCCTGGTCCCCGAAACAGGGAAAAGACAAAAAGTAGCACATCCCTTCTTCTTTCCGTTACCCTCGTCCTCTCCCGCCTCCGCTCTCTTCTGAGTCTGTTCTGTCCTGTCCCGTCCTCTCCTCCGCCGCCCGCCCTGTTTGCTTGCCTGCCCTGTCCGGCGGCCCTGTTCACTACTCGCATTGTACCTTTTTTTTTTTTACGGTACTGGCCACTCTCTTTCGCTGCTCTCACTGGCCAGCACTTGCTTGGTCCGTACTTACTGACTGACCACTGAACGACGGCCCCCTCCCCTCCTCTGCTCTGCTCCACGTCCTCTCTCTCCCGCTCTCTCTCTCACACAGTCTCTCTCTCCTCGTCTTTCCCGTCTGTCTACATACCTGCTCCCCATCAATTCAGGTCTGCTGGTCGTAGCTCAGTCTCCCCTCGCTCCTTGACCTTGAACCCCCATCCCCTCCAATCCTCCACCACAGTACCACCGAGTCCCCGATTTTGAGACCATCACTCGAAGCAACTGGCCCTCCTACGGTGCCATCCCCCTGTCACCCCGTGCCAGCTGACTGTGACGGACTCCACTCCTATCTATCTGCCTCCATCTGCTGCTCTCTCGCTGGTTTGGGCTCTGTCTCTCTTTCTCGCTCCGCTCATTGCCTTTCGCTCTCGTTTTGCCCCCGATTTCAATTCTGCGGCACCTTCATCCCAAAAAAACGACACACGTCTGGATCATGGTGCGCGACAGTCGACACTGTCTTCCCTAGATCCAACCAGTGCAGACGTGAGAGCCATTGAAGACGACTGCACGTCGCAATGGGCAATAGCCAGGGCAAGCCCATCGACTTGGATGGCGAAGGTATGTCTCGCTCCCAGCCTACCTACCCTATCTACACACAGCTCTGTCTGCTGTTCGACCCGTCCCGACGCTCCTGTCCTGTCCTGTCCCGTCACTGAATGCACGGCGGCAACCACCATTTGCCGCAGCACTCGCCTCACCACCACGCTGCGCAGCGCTGCACTGCACCGCTCTGCGTGCCGCCGCCGCCTCTCCCCACCACCAGCCCGATCATCGCCAAGCTAACCGGCATCTTTCCACTCTGCAGTCAACCTCAACCATTTCCGCCTGCTACGAGTCGTCGGTCGAGGCGCCTTCGGTAAGGTCCGCATCGTCGAGCGAAAAGACACGAACCTGTCCTTTGCTTTGAAGTATATCCGGAAAGATGAAGGTACATACACGCATACACACCGCCTCGTTGCACGGCATCCTCCTGCCCCGATGGGACGCCGTGCACGACACCACAGGATCACATAGATGCTGATACTGCCCTTATCAAACAGTCGTACGATCAGAGAGCGTGCGGAACATCATACGAGAGCGCCGGATGCTCGAGCACGTGAACCACCCCTTCATTTGCAACCTGCGATACAGTTTCCAAGACATCGAATACATGTGGGACCGCCCTGCCATTGCTGCCCGACGATGCCTCTCGCTGACCACTCTCCAGGTACCTGGTTGTTGACTTGATGAGCGGCGGCGACCTCCGATTTCACATTTCGAGAAAGACCTTCACCGAAGACGCAGTTCGCTTCTGGATTGCCGAACTAGGATGTGCCCTCCGATACATTCACCAGCAAAACATTATCCACCGCGACGTCAAGCCCGACAACGTCCTCCTCGACGCAGACGGCCACGTGCATTTGACCGACTTTGTGAGTTTTGACTAACAATTGCCGGCGGAAGCGAAATACTGACTGGACAAGAACGTTGCCTCGGATATCGTGCCCGGCAAGGTTTTGTCTAGCAAATCCGGCACCCTCGCATATCTCGCTCCCGAAGTTTATGCTGGCAAGGGCTACGATGTCCGTGCAGACTGGTGGTCGTTGGGTGTTCTCTTCTACGAGTGCATCTACAACAAGGTGGGTCTACTCTTATCGAGACTTCGAACATTGTGATTAAACGTCCTACAGAGGCCATTCGACGGCAATTCAGAAAGCACCCTCAGCCAGCAGATCCAGCTCGCGAATCCCAAATACCCCGTCACACAGCCCGCCGTCAGCCTTCCCTGTTTATACGCCATCCGAGACGCATTAAGCCCGAACCGCGACACACGGATGGGTGCCACCTGGGAGAGCTTCACTAAGCATGAGTTTTTCATGATGATTGATTTCGAAGCGTTGGAGCGGAAGCAGATCGAGCCCGTGTTTGTGCCGGCGGCTGACAAGACCAACTTTGACGCCACATACGACCTGGAGGAGCTCCTGTTGGAGGAGGCCCCCCTTGAGGCGAGAGCCAGACGCCAAAAGCCCCGCGAACGATTGAAGGAGGACGCTTCGGAGAAGGAAATCAGGGAGGACGAGCTCTACCGCATGATTGAGAACGAGTTTCGGCCGTTTGACTACACACTCGCCGCGTACAAGAAGTATGGCTGCGATGAACCCATATATCCTGACGTGGCTAACGTACATAGAATCACCGAGCAAGAAGGAGGATTCCCCAACGGCGACATGAATCAATTACACCCCAACAGCGGGCCTCAGGCATTGACCACCGACGAGGCCACCCCCGCCGCGATGGCCACCAACGGAGGGAGGAACACCATGCCCCCGGCACCCTTACGAAAGAGCACGAGCTTGGAGAGACGGCCCGGCAGCAGTCACAGCGGCGTGCCCCGCCGGCCAGCCGTGAAGCCGCCCCCGATACCGCACTACCAGCCAAACGAGTACCACAACCAGAGAGCCGCACCGCCGGCAATCGGAAAGCGCGTCACCAGCCCAACCGGCGGCATGTCAGTCACGCTGGACGGAGGCGGCAGTTGGTCAGAACTCGCTCGGCAGGACGCCACGCTTCCCACAGACGCCAACGCAACGGGCGATGGCAAGTCGGAGAGCTCAAGCGGCGTATTCAGTTTCTTTAGGGGCAAGAAGGGAAGAGGACACAGCCCAAAGCCCAAGGAAAGGGGAGTTTTGGGCAAAGAGGGCGCCAGGCAGGTTATTGGCTAGAAGACGATATGGAACAGGTTGAAGAGACGGACAGACGCAACGAGGATGGATCGATACCCGAGAAACCCAGCAAAGCTCGAAGGGGACCATCAGGTCCGTATCCACGATCCCGCAGAGTCGAGGACGAAGGACACGGCCAGGCCGTGGCGTTCTGGCGATGGTTGGCAAAGCTAGTGCCCGTTCGCCCAGGGATGCGACACAAAAGTTGCAGTGTGAAGACGCTGCGACGTCCCGAGAGGAGAGGCTGCACTACAACGGCACGGGCTGCATGTCACATTTGGCGGGCCTCGTCGGCGGGCACCAGCAGGCAGGAGGCGAGACGGCCTGTGCCGTGTGCAAACGACCAGAGCGGTCTCTGCGCTGCCGCCCTTGGCCGGAGCCAAGGCTGTTGTCTCGATTCACTTCATCGCAAGGTTCCAGGAGGATAAGGTACACCAAGGGGCAACCAAATTCATGAAGCATCAAAGACGGTATGGAGCGTGGATTAGCAAAGTGACATAGGACAACTCATCAAGCAAGAATATACCCTTTGTAATAACACAGGCCAACACTCTACATGCTCTCTCCACGTGCTGTCACAGTCGGTCGAGGCTACTGCTGCCACAAGGTTACCGCATCACCCCAACCAATGCAAAATAACTCCTGGCCTCGAGAAACGTGCGTCTGGCCCGTTTGGCTGCGATACTTTCCTCGCCCCGGACGGGGATTGGATGACGTTGGACGATTCAAGCAGTCGGTCCCCGGTTCCGGGGGTCGCCATTGGTCGGCTGGGACGCTGCAACCGGTAAGTGGTCTTGGGGGAAACTCGGGGGTGGGAGGGCTGCTGCTGCACACCTGCAGATCCCTCTTGTCGCCCCCTTCCCACCACCACCCACTTTCCATCTTGCCATCCGACATGGACGCAACGTTGGCCGCACCGCACCGCATCGCAACCCGAGGATACGGACCTGGGGTGTGAAGGCAGAGGGGCGATTGCTTTCTTCTGTTCAATTGCCGAGTCGATACCGCCTTGGCGGCAGCAGCTGGGGGGCGGCCCTGGAAACGAGCCGACTGAGCAGGCAGACAGAATAGCCAGCAGCAACTCGACAAGGGGTCTGATAAGTCTCGTGATTCTTCTTCTTACGGGCAGAAGCCTTCTTTTTCGCCTCCTGGTGAGGGGAAGGGGGACCTAGGAGGCTTGTTCCGGGTTTGGGTTTAGACCGGGGTTGTCAGAAGAACAGGCAGCATATCATAAACGCAGTCATAGATACCGGAGCAGATAACAGAAAAGACCATGGACTACTCCTTTGCTTCTTGGTGAGCAGTAGACGCGAGGGGGGAAGCTTGTGCCGCGTAACACACCGCTCATCGCAACATGATCCTTACCGTGAGCGCAATCAGCATCAACCCCCTCTCCCCATCCTTTCTGCCGTGTGCCATCTTTTCCTTTCGTTCTTCGTACGATTTTGCCCCCTTCTCCCACGTGCCGCTCTATCCATTCTCCTAGGTTGCCTGCCATGCCATGGGGTGGCGGCTGGGCAGGCAGCATCCCCCACGTCAAAAAAAAGGTGCTCACTGTCGACATGCCGCTGGTGGTGGTGGTTGGGGGGGCCTCTCTACGCTCCGTGGTCCGTCCCCCCCTGGCGGCGTGCACACACGACAGAATACCGGCCTCCCCCCGCCTTTCTGCCCGTACAACCATAATGTGGCGTGTCCTGTACATGAGCAGGAAGGGGGAAGCCAGCCTGGCTTGGGGGAATCACGCACGAAAAAAAGGCACCGGGTGCGATGGGGGGAGTAGAGACAGAGTTCAACGTCCAACGGCGCAGGATGCGACCCTGTTCGCCCTCGGCCGAAGAGCTCCATCCCCAAAATCCGCTTCCCCGTCTCCGACCGCCCGCCAGAGACCGAACGCGAGAGACAGTCGCAACGCCGAACGCCGTCCGTCCGTGGTTCGTGTCGTGTCGTGTCGTGTCGTGTCGTGCTGCCCTCCCCTCCCCGCATGTTTCCAGCAGCATCAGGGAGCGCATGATGGAGTTCTGCTGCCAAGGAGAATTCGGATGCGGGATGCGGATGCGGGCGGGTGCGGGGCGGCCGCAGACCACCTCGGCCTGGGGGCAGTTCTGGACTACTACGAATCGTGATATGTACTTAACGCCAGTGTCTGTGGGGGAATGGAGGGCCGGCTTGTTCCCGCCACGCTATTGATGGGTAGCTATCGACCTGAGATTTACGGCGGGCGCAGGAAGTTCAGGAGGCTGACCGCTAGCTCACTCGCGCCCGCCGGGTCCATCGTTTGAAGGAGACGGGCCGAGGGTGCTTATCGGGCCCCTGGCATGGCAGAGTGATGGCATCCGCCGCGAAGGAGCTGCTCCGTTTAAAGCTCCGTGCTGGCCGGAAGCTCCGTTGGAACGACGACGTGGGCCTTGATCTCATTCCCTTCAAGCACTCATCTGAAGTACTCGTCTCAAGCACATACGGACGGCCATTTCAAGAGAACCAACCCTGACAAGACACCAAAGTGAGTCCAACGTGGAGATTCTCATTCGCTCATTCATCCTTGGAACACCAAACTAGCCTATACTAGTAGCATATTACATCTGCAAAGAAAAACCAACCCCTATATGCCGACCCTCGACGTACAACCGTCGTGGTTGCCGCAAACCTCATCATCGTAGCCTTCCCAAAACCATTCTCGGTCGCTCAATGGGAGTTTTCCAGTCGGAAACAGGCCAGGGCCTATGAGCCACTCGGCCGGATCTCGTGCTCCGCATCTAGAATTCCGGTGTTTGATGAATAACCATTCGCCTTGCCGCGGGTCGGAAGCTTACGTCCGCCCTTATTTTTGGTCCGTGTTAAAACGCCTGTCGTCCCCAGAAAAACCGACCTAATCCTGATATGCTTCCAAACCTGACCGCCTGACCTGTTGCCGTGGGCACGTGTGCAAATGTACATGGAGACGTCTGGTCCTTCAGGCCTTTGTCTTGTTCTGGGCCGCGAAGCAGGCCGCCACGTCCTTGCCCATCCACTTGTTGACGACAGCCTGGAAGTCCGTCTCGGACACGACGGGGCCTTGACCTGAGCACTTGGCCTTCTTCTGAAGCTCGGAGCAGAGTCCGTCGAGGTCGAACTCGCCGCTCGCCACGTCTGGGCAGTTTTGCAGCTTCTCCCTGGGGTGGGTGTAAGTCACTGTGTTACTTGCCTGTCGGGGGACAACATACCAGATCTTATTGCAGTTGTAGTTCTCGGCCTTGACGGCGTCCTTGACCACGTCGTCGTCGGCATTCTTGGCGGCATCGATTTGGTCAATGAGGTTCTTCTTGGGCACAGCGGGGCTGGGCGCCATGTTGTACGGCGTGATAAAGTCGGCGTCAAGGGCGTCATTGAAGAAGCTGTCGTCAAAGGTGCCGCCTCCGAGAATGTTTTCTTGAGGTTCGCGGTAGTCGCCAAAGAGCTGAGGATCAAACTGTCCGCCGTTTTGCTGAGCAAGCCAGTCGATGCTGTTGGTGTCGATGCCCGCAAACAACGACTGCTGGCCGGTGTGCTCTTCGCCGATGGTGGTCATCGTATCAACGGGCTTGAAGCCCATGGGGGACTGTGTGAACGGCTCAGGGGAAGTGCCGCAGGACGAACTGGGACCGGCATTCGACTGGGATGACGCTGACGGCGAGCTGGTCGATGTGCCGTTGTGCATGCCATAGGAGCCGGAGTCGACGCTGGCGCGCGACGTGGCGGTGCCGTTGGTGCCGTTCATGGACGGGCTGCTGAAGAGCGAAGTAAAGTTGGCCAGGTCGTCCTTGGTGCTGCTGAAATCCAGGCCATGGATGATGTGCGGGCTGTTGTTGTCCTTGGTGTTTAGGGGGCTGACGGGGTTGCTGCTGCCGTTGGTGTGAGGCGATGCCGACGCTCCTGTTCGTTGGACGGGCTTGGGCATGGCAGCACCGGGGAGGACGCCAAACTTGGGGAACTCGAACTGGAAGTTGACGTCGCTGAGGTTGCCGATTGCGGACGCACCAAAGCCCATGGGAGACTTGCCGTGTGAGACGGAGCGAGTACTCATGGCCGCGAGCTTGGTCTTGTACTCGTTGAGCTCGGCCGTCATCTTTTCAATCTGAGACTTGAGAATGCTATTCTCGCTGTTCGCATCCTTTGACGCCTTCTCCAACTCCTCCACCTTGGTCTCGAGGTCCTTCAGATGCTTCTCCTTGCGCTCACGGAATGCGCGCTGGGCGGCACGGTTCTGGGCCTTACGTTTCTTTACGAGTGTTAGAGAGATTGTCTACGGTCTAGGAGGTGGCAGAACATACTGAGCTCGGCTCGGAGGTAAGGGGCTTGCGTCCGGGCTTCTTGGGCACCTTCTCGGTGCTCTCACGTCTCTTGGCGCCGTTTCCTGGCGAGGACTCGTCGTCCTCGTCGTCGGGGTGGGCTCTCTTGTCAGAGGAATCGTTGTCGGTAGAATCTGACTTGGTGGACTTGGCGGTGCCCGGGATATCTCCAATCATCTTGCCCTGGTCATTGAGGGAGTCAAAGTCGAAACTGGAGTCGCCAAAGTCGTAGTCATAGTTGTCGAGATACGGGCTCTCCTGGAAGCCGTTGGCGGGAGCCTGGGCGGGAGACGTCTGGAAGGAGGAGGGCGACATGGAGGTGTCCTTGGTGCCCGGGGACTGGTTCGCCAGCTGCTGCTTGTTCGAGTTGAGGGCGGCGAAGAGCAGGCTCTGCTGCTGCGGGGTCAGGATGAAGTTGGTTGGGAAACCACCGTTCGTTGCGGAGGCCATTGCGAAGAGTACGTGAAGGGGCGAAGTGGTGAAGGTAAAGAGAAGTCAATTCGGTGCAGGAGGGCTGCGAAGAAAGGTAAACTCGGGAGGCCGATTGCGGCTCGTGCCGGGGTCAAGATGGGATTCGGGTCCAGGCCGCCGGATCAACGGATGGTATCGCGGGGAGACTGGGTGTTGTTCAACAGTGTCGCGACGCCTGCGTGGTGCACTCGGCAATACAAGACGCCAAACTCGCCGTCGAGATGT